TACAAATATATATGTATGTATTGGCACATATCAGTAGTCTTGTTCTTGGCACAGATTATCTTATAAAACAATCAGTAGTCTCTATGATGCCAGAAGCAGTTCTAGCACTATGAAATAGTAATACTAATGCAGGAATGTACATAGTGGCTTGTCTCATATTTCAAGGAAGCAAGCACTGCATGGAAATAACAGGTCAGTATCACGGTAGTCAGAAGCAAAATACTGATGGAGGAAAAACAGCATGACAATACTGTCAGTAGGCAGTTGCTTGTATCAAATTTGTGTTCTGTCAAGCCTTTATACTGTATATAGCAGTGTTAAATATCTGCACCACATTCTTTAGAGAAATCTGATTTGTTTCGATCTGGTCCGTCACACTAACAATATTATGAAAGATAAAACAATTCCATCCAGTGTGACTGTGAAGTAGTAAAAACTTCAACAGTCACACTGGACGGAATTGTTTTATCTTTTATAACATGCTTTAGAGTTTTATAACTTGATATTTCATTTATGGAACAAATTATTAGTTCTAAAAACAAACGTGACTGTCTTCAGTAATTTTCAAAGTGACTTTTCTTAAGCGTCATAAATTATTTCTGCAGTGGAAATGCAGCGGGTCTTCTCAATGGAAGGGACATGTTTCTTTTTAAATTCCATATTTCCTGGCATACAGGATGCGCCAGTGTATAAGATGCACTGCACTTTTTGGGGCCATTTGAAGAGTAACAATGGGCCTTATACACTGGGAAACATGGTACTTGTTATATGACCTGTCCTTTTTCAAGAAGTGACACAATAAACTGGAAAACAATTTTAAAGTTGTAATACATATTCCTTATTGTACATTTTGTTATTGGGTTTTTGATCATAATTTTCAGTTTTCTTTCACGCGTAGTATTCAGTCTGTGCAACTTCAACAGTTTATGGACATTCAACCATCACACAAGACACAAGTCTCCCAACCCAGTCACCAGAATCACAGTCAACAGCTGTAACACTGTGGCCCATAAATTAGCAAAATATGTAAGTAATCTCTTCAAAGAATTTGTTCAACTGCCCAGTTCCTGCACTATAAACAATACCCTAAATACAATTAATGATCTTAATGAAATCAAATATAGCCCAGAAATAAAATTATGTTCCCATAACATAAAAAATATGTATGCTAACATCCCTACTCCAAAACTCAATGGTGTTCTAAACAACACTGTAACCAATTACAACCTAACACCCTGTAAACTTAAATAAGAAATAACTTACAGAAATCATCCTCAATAAAAAAAATACTTCCAACACAGCAATGAATAATACAAACAAACCAAAGGGCTAGTTATGGAAGTCATGCTTCAGCAGTCCTTTCTGAAATATATTCATATCTGGAACACATATACACTTACAAGACTTTTGACCTATCAGTAACCAAACAGTTACATAAATCAAGACTTCAGCATTTACCAGAAACCAACTTACACCGACATAAACACCCAAACAATTCATGCCACCTTCATAAGCACAAAATATCAGGAATAATTTTTGTGGTAAACTGATTGAATATGTGCCCGATGTCCAAAGAAATAAACAGCATTAAAGAAACCCTCAAGAACAAGCAGTACACACCAGAACAAATTAAAATAAAACACGAACATAAAAGAAGTAAAACCAAATGACAACAATAATAAAAAATTGGTAGCATTTACATGTTTTGGCAAAGGAACTAGAACCATTCTGCATACAGACATAAAAACAACAATCAAAACTACAAATTATATATATATCTGGAATAAAGAAAACATTCCTGTATCTGATAGATGGGTACAGATTTTTTTCTGAAATGAGAGAAGAACTTCTACACTTTCAACACTTTTGTAATATTGTAGAGTTTATTCTTTCTCCTCTGGGAAATACAGCACCTGATGAGAGAATATCTTCTGTTATGAACACTATGTGGTCAAAGGAGAAATCTAGATTAAGTGCTGAGACAGTAAGGGCTACATTAGTTGCAAGACAAAACTGTGTCTTGAAGTGTGAGAAGTTTTATGATAAGGAGCTGAAAGACCAAAATTTTCTGTGTAAGATTACTTCATCTGAGAAATATTCATGGTACAATAGTGGTAAAATACAGTCCTCCTCATAGTCTAAATAAATTTTTGTATGGGTTCTGTCCCTCAAGAATAACCGTGAGCTCAATATGTTTATCCAATAAAACTTTTTTTTATTGTCCCATTTTTGTTATCCATATGTTCCATTTTTGTCTCAAGGAAATATGGTCAGTCTACATTTAGGAGAAATGGGGGGACCGACCTACCATAAGACCTCCACCTACACAGGAAAATGCAAACACAGATAAAACACAGAGAGCTAGTTGGTGTAGGTAACATGATAGATGAAATGTGACATGCAGAAGACAATGGACAACCCTTGCAGAAAGGACAGGGGATAACAGCAATATAACACACCTCAGGGAATAAACCCTGGAAGACTTGAAAGAAACTGGCTTGAATTGACCCCAGAAGCCTGAACCTTGACATGTACAGAGAAGAACAAGACATTTTTACATACACAAAATTGAACTGTGATCAAATGTTGATCATTTCACATATTAGGACACCAACAATAAACAAAAATCATCATCTACTTAAAGATGGGTTGTATCAGTCACAAAGAAATTCTCAAACAGAATGCACGAGGAATGGATAAAAATAAGGGGTCACTTAACAGCCAGTTTATCATGATGCCAAGCAATTCATATCGCATGCATCTATACACTGTGAAGTGACACTGGATGTTTCTCTTTCTTTGGTTCTCCCCTACAGACCATCATTTCACCACTGCTCCATCACTGCCCTTGATGGAATGTGATAGCCCTGACAAAGTAGCATATTATCTCATCCTTAGGTCTCAAGCTGAAGGCTTCATCTCTGATTGGGCACTTGGTTTCTTACAGACTAAGGAAGGTTAAGTGTGTGACAATACTGGCACATAACCTTGAACCACCTTTCAGCTGTTCCTAGGTGAGTCATTTGTCAGAGCAACAAATTTTCACTGCTAAGCACTGATGTCACGAAGGCAGAGGGCATTTAGGGAGGTCCAGTTCCAAATAGGTTGACAATATGGAATGCCATAGTGGAGTGCCATTCATGTTGTGTTATAACTGCGGGTAGTTCCGTTATCACAACACATATATAGGACATATTATATATACAGTAAGGACAGTCTAAACAACAATATTTCTGAAAGAACAAAATAGGGGTTGAAATATGTAGAATAAGCAACAAATAAAAACAAAATGTTGACACATTAGTGTCTATTTTGTTGTTCTTTCACAGATATTGTTGTGTAGACTGTCCTTACTGTACTCGTATATATCATATTTTCTATATATGACACAACAGGATGCATACTATGAAGACAACACACATAACAATAATTGATTATATATGTATTTTTCCATAAGTTTTGACCACAGAGGCCATCCTCCAGCATTCAGGACATTCACTATATGCTTTCTGCAATAAATATTGTCGAAGTTAAAGATTACAGTGGTCAAAATCATCAACTTAAGAGTGTTGTGTTTTGACAGAAATTTGCAGTACTAAACTGCATGTCTTAGGTGTGTGTACTGTTAATTATAAACGTATATATACGTGGTTCATGTGGTAGTATAAGTGGTTGAGGCACTATGCTATAAGCCAGAAGGTCACAGGTGCGATTCCTGATGAGGTCACTGAATTTTCAGTTGACCTATTCCTTTCAACCGCACTATGACCCTGAAAGAACCAGGAATCTTCCTGGGGTAAATGGCGGCCAGCTGGTAAGGTTCACAACCTTATGACCATCTGTGAGCCGACTGTCTAGAGCAGTGTTCCACAACCAGTGTGCCGTCACAAGGTGAAAGGTGTGACCGAACTTTTACCTATTGTAAGAAATTAATTGTTGAATATTATTCCTTTTATTTTATCCCAGTTACTGTGTTTCATATGCTTGTATTTTATTCTCAGCCACTGCACTGATTAAACAGGATGATGCTTGTTTATTCTTTATTACATGCTGTGATTTTCTATGTACACTAACGTTGTATTCTAAGAAATTAAACGAAAATTATTTATTCACAGTTGCTGTTATATCATAGTTTTCATTATTGATTTATTTTTATTTTTCTTGCATCTACGCAGGTTCTTTGATATGCTTGCCGCATGTTCTTTGTACGTGCTTTTCCCTAAAACTTCAGGGATTAGCATGGGTTTTCCTGTCTTTTAGAATGCTGTTTCGTTATTTGCCCGTTTGTTAGAAGTTAGAGCTTCTTCAACTTTATGACTTTCTTCCTGTAACGATGCACCCACCGATTGTTGGACTTCATTTAAAATTATAAATATTTCAAAAATAAGTCGGTATAGTGTCACTTCTTCCGTTTGAAGAGTAGAGATCCCGCGTTTTACAATTGTTTCAGTTCTATCACAGCTGTGCTCTGAAGTAGTTTGCAAATTTTGGTTGCTAGTTAGAGAATTACAGATGGGTCGTTTGAGATGTCCCCGACTGTATGGCCACTTGCTGATGGCAATAAAGTGGTGATGGACATAATTACAGAACATTTAGAAATGCTGCAGCAGAAATTCAATAAGTATTTTGGAGAGAGTGCACAAGATTTCGACTGGGTTCATGATCCATTTGTTATGAATTCAGAACATCTTCCGATTAATATACAAGAGGAACTCGCAGATTTAAAAGCAGACAGAACACTGAAACTAAAACTTCTCGAAGTGTCTTTGGATACGTTTTGGTTGGCAATAAGGAGTGGATACCCGGCTATCTCCGAGATGGCAGTTAATGTGTTATTGCCATTTTCAACTACATATTTGTGTGAACTGGGCTTCTCGACATTAACTGAAATTAAGACATCAAAGAGGGAGCGGCTCAAATCCATCGATGAAGAAATGAGACTTGTGTTGTCAACGATTCCACCATGGATCAGTCGCCTGTATGCAGCTACGCAGGCGCAAGTATCACATTGAAGGTATGAGTTGAATTACTGTATTTACTTTAATAGTAATAGAAGTGTATTTTCTACACTCTGCAGGGAGATTGAAGTTCATCAATTGTTAATAAATGCACGAGTCAATTTCTGTTTAATGATAATAAAATAACAATATAATAATATTATAGTAATAAGTTGATCACGTTACGTATTTATATTAATTGTCTCATATCATGCGTTTTTGAAGGGAATAATATTTGGTGTGTCGTGTTGTCATGGATACTTCATGGTGTGCCGCGAGTAGAAAAAGGTTGCAGAACACTGGTCTAGAGAAACTGTGGGAGCCCTGACATCTCACAACCCTATGGGCCTCTACGGCCTGTTACAGGGATATGCTTACCTTCTTTTCAAACACATGTGGTTGTTCATTACACTGTGACCAAGGGTTGACTGTATGGTTTATATCACAGTTTGAGTTGTGGTTTTCTCATCTGACTGAATTTGGTGTGTCCTCTTTGCTCTAGGAATCTGGTGATTTTTCCCCCTAGGCCATGGAGATGTCTGCTGTAACAATGATCTGTGTGCAACATATGTAATAATCGCTGTGGAGGTTTTATATGAAGTTGATCTGTAGGATTATTTGTATCTCGTATGCTATGAATGCTGTCATTGCAGAGGTTGTGTGGAACTGTCAGATTCCCAGGGCACAAAGCACACACCATATTCAAACACATGAGAAAACTACAAGTGAAATTACAATATAATCAACCCCTTTCACTGCAATGTTATGAATGACTGCATATGTATACATATAATTGATAGTACACATACCCAGAACATGCAGTCCAGTACTGCTAATTTATGCTGAGACATAACATTCAACTTGACAGTTCTAACCACTGTAATCTTTATGTTTTACAACTTATATTGCCACTGCACAGTACTTAACTTTTATGTTTTACTATATCTTTATCTTTTTCAGCAATTTCAGAGCTATTATACATCCTATGGGGTCACGCTGTAATGTAGTTGTCTGAGGCACTATACGATAAGTTGGAAGGCTGTGGGTTCGATTCCTGATGAGGTCATTGGATTTTTCTAATTCACCTAATCCTTCCAGCTGCACTATGGCCCCGGGGTCAATCCAGCCTATAACAGAAATGAGTATCAGGAATCTGGCTGGGGCCAAAGGGCAACCAGCGTGTAAGGCTAACAATCTCACCACCATTTGTGAGCCAACTGTTACCACAAGACTCTAATCTAACCTAGGCAAAACATTTTGACAAGAATCACTAACATTTGCATAAAGCAGATAATGAATGTACTAAATGCCTGAATATGGCCTCTATGTCTGAAACATGTATATAAATAACTATACAACCATTATTATATACCTGCTATGTCAACAGAACTCCCTGTAATTAAACCGATAATATGTTGTCTCAACAGATCATTTTTAAGATGCACCATCAAGGTCAAAACATGATGTCACTTCAACTTATTTAGGAATGTTTATGCTGTAAGGTTGCAAAAAGCTTTGTACCTAACCATACTTGTTTGTCAGTTGACTATGATGCACTAATGTTAACAATCCAAAACAAGTACAAAGTTCTCCAAAGACTGAATCTTTTCGACCCCTAAACTAAATACACCAATCTGCCACTTTTCTATAAGACTTAATTTCTATAATACTTATTACTGTACAAAACATTTACCATTGTATAGAGTATTGTACAACTAGAGCTTCATATTTATCCTGGAATTCTTTACATCAATGAAATAACACAGGGGCTAAGGGCACAAACATTGTGTACTACTGACCTTGTGTTATAACCTTTCACACACACACAGAGGCACTTACACTTTCTTTAACCCCTTCCTATCCTGTGCCACAAGATTTCCAATGCTGTAATTTTCCCACGTAGGTCAACTGCTGGAAAACTTCCACCATCAACTTACAAATTTACTGTTACATTATAATTGCATGCCCTGTGCTATATTTTTGATCTTTATATTCTTTGACATTTCTTTTAGTAATTTTTAAAAGAACAACAAATGACAGAAGTTTTATATTTTTCCATACCAAAATGTCTTTCTTTTTAATTTTCATGCTGATAAATTTGTAGCTGGTATGAGTAAGGGTGGAAATAAAAAGAACAGGATAGGATCAATCTAATAAAACATGTTTACAGTCATGTATCAAGGCTATGGATATTGCTGCTCCACCTTACCAGGGAAGCTAACAGTGCATGTCTATCAATACTAGCCAACAGATTCATCCTCTTGATGCCTTAGGCAGGCCACCACAACATTCCCATAGCTGAGCTCCTTGAAATATGCCTTACACAGGAGCCCCACCCCAGTCAATACAATGGGAAGCCCAAGGATTGAGCAGATCAGCTCACCAGTCACCACAGGATTCCACTCCAGGAAACCTGCAAGACACCAAGTCTTAGAATTCTGACCGTGGTTATCAACAATCTGAAGGGAACCACTGTCTCCATTTACAGGACAAAACTAAATCCTTCTGTACTGAAGATGGAATCTGAACCAACTTACAAATACGGAAAAAATAGGTAGAAAAAATTCACGTGCCTACTTTCATTCAAAAAGAAGAATTCCATATAAATGAAAGTCATGTCTTCTCCTACAAAGTCTTGGAAATATCATGCCAGTCAAAGATGACACTCAGAAGAGGAAAACCCCTACTTAAGATTTTGATGTTCTCACAGCACTATTTAAGAAAAGTTCTATCTTCTGCGGCATAACATCATGTAGTCCATTGAAAGTCAACCAGTTTTTTCAGAGGCACATTTCACCTCCATATGTGACTATATGGTTTTACATCCCACAAAACAGAATTCATCTATTCAATGTTTCTCTGGGGGCCAGTGGTTTGGAACACTAAACTGGGGAAAATTTTACATGGTAGCAATTTAGCACAGAGATTACTAATTTGTGATCACCAAAACTGAATTTTAACACACTGAGGACCGGCTGCATGATATCATGTTTTTGGCTTTTAAATGTGGTAGACCAGTCACATGATATCATGAGTTTAGGACATGTTAGGTTGAAACACACTATACCTTGCTCTGGCGCCACCCAAGTTGCATGCAATGGCTTAATAAAACTCTGGAATGTTTGCTTACTTGTCAGTAACTTGACCTCACTGTTTTCTTAATGCACTATAAACGAAAATGCTCTGCTTCTCTTCGAGCTGTATGTACCAGCCAGTAGTTAGTGGGGGGTATGGACAAGGACAAATTCTTCTCTGATAAGCTAGCTGACCTGGCTTGTGAGATGCATAGTAATGGTGATTCAGAGAGTGGCAGTGACAGGGGAGAACAAAGAATTGTGGCCACAGACAGTAAAAGTGACAGTAGCTCCAATGATAATGGGGGTAATAACATTGCGGGGACAGTAAAAAATCTAAAAAAATCACAAAAATCTAAACCCTGATTCGAAATTGAAATACAAAGCATTTCTGATGATTATGGCAAAGGCCTGGGCTACAGACCAGATGGTGGTGGCAGAACCAGAGTCAGACAAAGACTTAGTGCGACTGGGACCATCAACTCCTACCCCATGCAGGCCTCATGTGGACCCCCCAGGGTGACTCTCGGGTGATATGCGGAAACATACCCTCGTGAAAATTGTGAAGAGTGAACATTCCAAGGGGAAGCATCCTTCTAGGCAATGCCGTGTTTGCACAGTTCACAAAAAAGGAGTATGCCTACATTGCAAGTTCTGTGTAATGCCACTTCATAAAGGGGAATGTTTCCATAAATATCACACCCTCAAGCACTTCTAGGAGCATTGGTAAGTGTTCTACAAAAATTTTAGTTCATAAAATTAATTAGGAGATTTTATATTAATTTTTAAAGTGAACAGTGCACAAGTTAGGATAGTAGGTTTAATAATGGGGGCCCCAGGGTGATTTAAATATTTAAATCGCTGGTCCGCAATGTGTTAAAGGAGGGAAAATCTTAAATTGAGGAACATTAAATGTGGGTTCCATTGTAAATAGCATCAGGGTGCAGGTTACTACAAAATCAGTGAAAAATTCTCTTCATTAGAATTATAACATTACATGATCAGTTATCACAAAGCAGACACCCAACAGAATTCAAGTTTTCAGCCCTGACATTAAGCTTCAGAGAGCCCTTACCTGAGGTCGATGCTGTCACACCTCCTACCATACGGAATAGAGACCACCATATACCAGCAAGTGGGAGGGCTGTGGTGCTCACAGCTACTGTGAAAACAGCTGACTCACTGACAATGAGGAACTTAAGCGATGAAAACATGAAAACTATATAAGCTAAGAGAAATGACCAGGCATATACAGCCACCTGTAACAGAGAAAGAGAACATTATAAACAGATGATCTGAGGTTCTCAAGGCAGTTAATATTAAGGCTGTGGTCTTTTGGAATGTGATATCATGTAGTCTTGCAGACAGGTGCCTATCTATCAGACTGCAGAGAGTCATACCCCAAATGATCATAACCTTATTGCAAAAAGTTACCACTCACAAAAGCATTCCCATGCAAGTTTTGTATACATAATAACATGTTACCCACTTCCATTTAAAAAGGACAGAACTACAGGACACTATATCTACAGCAGAAACAACAGTGCAAGTAAGATTTAGAAGTGGGAAACTGATTGCCTTTAGCAGCAGGCTAACATACGTCCATTCTGCTGAAATGCATCTCCACTTAAACACATGAGCCAATGGAAGAACAGGGTTTGCATTATGGAGTTTCATGACATAGATACATCTTCAAGAACAATCCCTTCAGTAATGCTGTGTCATCCTGTACCGTAAACAAGTATTACCTGGCGGCAAGTGTCATGAACATTCAATGTCACTTCATTACTCAAACTATGGGCCACCTTGCTGTATCCACCAAAATGACAGTACAGGCCATTTCTTGTCAAGTTCCAGAATTCAGATGCAGAAGAACCCTGCACATACAAATAATAAAGTACAACTATTTCAATAACTACCCTTGGCTTCACAAAAGATAAATAAGAAGGAAACATGTGTTCAATACCAGAACATAAAGCTTCCACTGATTTTCTTTATAAATATGACAACAGAGGTGTGAGTGACCAAGTTATATCATTTACTAAATTACAGATGAAGCACCTCTAGGCTTCAAACTATTCACTGCTAAGTGCAGCATCGTATGTTGACTGTTATAGAATTCATTCCTGACACTGGAGTAAATTCATAAGAACAAGAATAATACTTGGCAACTGTGTAGGGGCACAGCTCATTTTAGTCAGCTACAATGATAGTAAGACTGCAGTAACACTACAGTGTGTTGGTTACTGTCCCACTTGCAGGATGTGCCTTACATACCACTTGTAAAGCAGCCAGTTTGATATACACATGTTTATGCTCACAGAAAACATGGTGGAACACTGGACAACCACTTGTAGCCTGCACATCAATGACAGGCATGTGACAGCCACCAGTATTTACAGTCATTATCTTGGTGCCAAATTACAGTTCCTTCATAAGTGATACTCTTCAAGCAAGAATATGAATGTGGATACAACACAATGGAGCGCCTCCACATTTAAGCAAAGTGATTGCAGAGTAGTTGAATGCAAATTATCAAGGATGATGGACAGGTCAAAGTAGACCAACTGAATGACCAGCTAGGTCACCAGATTTGATGCCATCAGACTTCTAATGTGTAACATAATGGCCAGCTGGAAACAAGGCAACGGTTCATAGAACACATAAATGAAGCCATTGATCCAATAAGAAATTAATTTGAAATACATCAGAACATTAGATGTTCAATAAGCCAATGCCTAGCAGCATGCATTCAAGCCAAAGGAGGTAATTTCAAATATTTAATTAATTGTGAACCTCATATGGTAATAATCCAGGTAGTAAAGTTGATAATAATTTGGTTACAAACACTTAATATGGTAATACAAGGATTGGAACTTTAATAGTGGCAACTATTTATTTACAACTGATACAAAATAGATACATGTTTCGAAGTTTTACTGTCCTTCAATGTAGTCAGCAGCACTCTGTACAACCTGTTGCCAGTGATGTGGAAGTCGTAGGATACCTTTAGCAGCGCCTGTTGTGTTGATAGTTCGAATGGAGCGGTCTACTGCCTGAAGAATCTCTGGAACAGTTCTGAAGCGAATGCCATGAAGTGGTCCCTTCATCTTAGGAATCAAGTCGAAGTCACAAGGGCTTAAGTCCGGGGAGTATGGTGGATGGTAAAGCACTTCTAAGCCCCATCAATCGAACAAATCAGCCATAGCTTGCTCTTCATGCAGCCAAGCAGTGTCCTCCAAAATTATGGGTGGGTTCTGCGGAAAGTGTCACCGCTTCATTCTCAAAGTTGGTTGCAGGTTGTGTTCCAAAAACGAACGTTAATACTGCTCACTGATGGTCTGATGTCTGGGAATGGTATGTGTTAGGATAACACCATCACAGTCATACACTCGAATCACCATAACTTTCACATTGCTGGGATTCTGACAAACTTTTGATTTTCATGGTGACCCATAATGATGCCATTCGTTCAATTGGCGTTTCATTTGTGGCTCATACGATTTGGCCCATGTCTCATCCAGCATAATGATACGGCGTAAGAAAGCCTCTCCTTCACGCTCATAGCACTCCAAGTGGTTACGAGCAGTGTCGTATCATAGCCATTTCTGCATTTCCGTCAAATCATGCAGACCCCATCATGATGCAATTTTTCTCATGCCCAGGCGTTCCTTCAGAATGTGAAGCACAGTCGTATGCGCTAATCCTGTCTCTCGGGCCAGCTCATGAATCGTATGGCATCAATCACTCTCCAGTAATGTGGAAAGAGTATACACTTCTTCTTCACTGACACTAGGATGACCTGGCTGACGCATGTCTGCAACATTTTGGCATCCCTTGTTGAAGGCTTTTACCCACCTTGCCACTGTTCTGTAAGGCAATGCAGATTCCCCGCAAGCCTCTTGAAGACCTTGATGACACTGTCGTGCTGTACAGCCTCTGGCACATTCAATCTTTATCCACCTTCGTTGTTCCTGTTTCGAAAACATCGTGACAACACTACATTAGACCACCAGCTAACACGAGGCTCTGTTCTTCTCGTCACTGCACATGCGCATGATGTGGGAAGGGAGAGTCCATTTGCTCCGAGGCAAGGTAGGTATGTAACTAATATGTGGTATAAGCGACATTATTTGGTTGGGTTGAATGGTGTCTCTACAGCAGTACTGCCACTAGTAAAGTTCCAACCCTCGTAAAACTGTTCAAAGGAAAAGTGGTTTTGAATCCAGTGCTATATTGCACTAGAGCTTAATTCTAAAATGGCGATGAACTGAGCTATTGTTTACAGGACATCTCTTGCTTAAAATTCTCTATAAAATATTACCCCAAAATCTGGCCATTTAAATCATGGGACATTCTGTATGACAGCCTGTTGACATACATTTGTTTGTGAGGTTTGTTTATGCTCACAGAAGATACAGACCTTCAGCAAAATGAAGCAATATTTTCCATTAAATTTTCAAGTAGCATTACATTAAAATGAACCCAATCACAATCACTACAGCAATTCATCTTACCTTCCCCATAATAGATGTCATATCAGTCCAACACAGAGCAACTACCAATACCAGAGTGACAAGATGCAGCCACAATGCTATAGGCAAGGCACGTGGCCTGATCTCAGCATCACAGTACTGTTGCCTCATGTAAATGATTTGCCTGGGAACAAATATGTACATGATACAGAACATACTTATGTTGTATTACACACATTACTCTCTTAGCCAATGCCAGCAGTGGCCATCTCAACATTCACTGCAATATGATTAGGATATGATTCATTAGTGACACTGCAGCCTCAGACAGGGTGAATTATGAAAAATGAATTAAAAAGAATGTGGTCCCTATCTCTGGACACAGGGTTTATAAGTATTCAGTGCCATTCACAGTTTGTTATATTACTCTTGGCTAGTTCCTTACTGGTTTTGTCTTCACAAACATCATGCTAGGTTTCAGGCTCTAAGAACATGGCTCTCCTTAATGTTTCCATCCTTGACTGATTAGAACAGATACGCCCTGAAAACAGCTCTTCTACTGCTGCGTGCATATCTATCTCTGTAGAAACCCTTTTCAACAAGCTGCTGGGTAGCCATGAACACCTCTGACACACACACACACACACACTCACTCACTCACTCTCTCTCTCTCCCCCTCCTCTTCCTTCTTGTTGCTCCCACTAGGAGCATAGGGCATCCATGAAACGCTTTGTTCCACTTCAGTTTCTTAATCCTAAAACAGTCAGTCAGACTCCCTGGACATGGGATCAGTTCGTCACAAGGCCACTACCTATAAAGGACAACACAAACACAGAGTAAATGCAGGCAAACATCCATGCCTTCAGTGGGATTCGAATCCATGATACCAGTATTCAAGCGAGCAAAGACAGTTCATGCCTTAGACCACGTGGCCACTGTGATTAGTTCTACAGAATTAGATTTATATATTTAATGGCATCATTTTGAAAGCATTCTTAAACCAAATGTCCATTTTGCAGGGCGTGTTTTCATAACCCCTTTAGCCATGATTTTCGGCATCCCTGTTGGACCTTCTCAGCTTCTGTGGTGGTACTGTGCATCACCCCAACAGATAGGGCTAGAAAGTAAAAATGAAGGATTGGGGGGGGAAGAGTTTCAAGATATTTTCAATCACCAACCTGTACAAAACAAAATAAATGCCAGGAGGATGAGAAGGATGATGATGATTCTGTACACCAGTATCAGTACTGATACTCACCTGTCTCGCTGAACAAGAGAGCTAGTGGACTGTTTTGGCTGTGAGGGAAGCTCTTGCCTTTCATCTACAACTTGCAGGAGTGGACATGAGTGACGTGTTGAGCGGCTATCTCTTGCAGAAACTAAACGGGACACAGTAATCAGACGAGAGCTTCCAGTCCCAACACATGTAAAACTCTGTGGATAAAAGCAGGTCTTCTTTTAAATTACACATAGTATCCTGGAGGCATACCTATCCATGCTATATTGTATTCACACATACCTGACATACAATTCAATATATGTTAAGGAAGCTTCATTAAAATATTTTTGAAGTAAGGACATCGTACACAGTGATAAAGTCTGATAACAGAAATGAAAGACTCACATTAAGAACTGCTGTACACTTACATGCATATATTTTATTATAATTTCTTTCTGTGTATAATATAATTAAAAGCTGGATATGTGGCAGGTGTTAGAACATTTATATTACCAACTGCAAAACCACCAAAACAACATACTCTTTTGATATGTTGGGTTTTTGGACTTTATCCATCGTCCTGGTTTTTAAGATAACGAATAAAAACACGACGTTTCGGAAACTGGATCTGTTTCCGTCCTCACGTGAAGGAAAACATACTCTTTTAATCAGTATAACCAAAGATTTATAATGACTCAGCCATACTGTAGGATGAAATATTTTTTCAGCACATGTTATGATTTCTTTACACATACAAAGGCTTAAGTACTCAGAATGTGACTCAATGAGACATCCAACCATTATCTCTCCCTGATATCTTCTTGCAGCAGAAACATGAACTATCCCATTATGTACTGCAGAGACACAGAGCATTCAACTGAGATGAAATGTGCTGAGTGCAATAGTGCAGAGATAATTTACTTGGGGACCAGAGGGGACAGTGGCATGTGGCACTGATGCTATCTACTTACACAGAACTACACAACTGACACTGTAACAGGCAACTGAGACTTAACTTATTTTACAAGAACTGCTGTGCCATCACAATTTCTTTTCAACTGAATGCTCTATATTATCACTGGTCTAAAAAACAGAAAAGAACTAGTTACAAATAGTGTGAAAAATAAATATAACTACTTGCACTAATCTATAGTGTAAAAAACTGAAGGGTCACCTCGGGTATGACTAGATGTCCTTCCAACAATGTATAGCTGAGGCTCCACAGTGCAAGTCCCACAATGTATACAAAAGTCCACACTAAGTGACTCTGCCAGGTCCAGTCCCCAGCATCCTCACTCCGCTGCTCACGCTCATTGCCACGGCATCGAAACTCATCACACAGACCATAATCAACACTGATAAACAGCCCAACAATAATAGTTGTAGAACAAAAGATCTTCTGAAGGCCCATCACTGTAAGTAACAAAGATACGACTACAGCGTTCTGAACACTGTTCCTTCATTATGTCAAAATTCTTACACTGTTAATTCTCTGTATAAGTTCATTCAGAGCAGAGACTGTCAACCTTTTCCGACTCATGGCACTAAAATTGTCAAGGCACACCATCAGCTTTTTTTAATGCGAGATTTTATCATTAAAAAACCAGTATTAAGATTGTGTTTACAAGTTCAAATGCTAAAATTCTAATAATTGTTATTTTCAAAAACAATGTTGATCATGGATTTCAAAAGATTTATTTTTAAAATCTGTATCCATATTTGTTATTATTCCAGATGCTGAAATGAGACATCATTGAAGAGGATGTCATTTATTAAAAAGAAATCCTATGAGGTATTCCACTGGCCTAACCCCTTCTCCCCCCCCCCAAAACAAAAGCTCTTTTCTCATTGAAATCACAAAGAATCTGATTTTGAATAAAATAGTCTGTTCTATGATGAAAAACGTCAATGCTACATTAAACTACAGTATGTATAAAGAAGGTAAGAATTCTTTTAAATATAAACATGAGTAGAAATACAAATTCTTTACATTAGCATAAAAATATCAGTGGGAAACCTGTGTTTGTGATGTCTCATGCTGCCCTTGTCCAACATCAGAAGGTTGACAACCATACCCTCAAGCCCTCCCCCAGTGTTTGAAGCTGTGAATTGTTCTTGCTAGTAATCATGTTCACAGCAGAGAAGACACAGACAGGACATAGAGAAAAGAAGAAATGCTCTGATTGAGATTTTTGTGATGATGGGGTACTCCTGTCAGGCAGACAACCAAAATGAGGCCATACCTCTTGATGAGTGCTTCAGTTTCAGGCTTCTGTCATTTCTTATTTCTGTCAGCTCATCTTCTTCTGCAACAGTTAATTCTGTTGACTTGAATGCACTTAACACAAATGGATCTCTCATTCAGTCCAAGAAAGATACGAGTATATCAAGTAACGGGAAATATTTTTCAATGTTTTTCCTCAGCAGTGACAAACTTTGCAGAATTAAATCAACAAGATTTTTGTCCAGTCTGCAAGTTTTTGTCAGCATAAACATTTCAACTTTGTTCCCTTTTATGATTATGGCTCCCCACAGTCTTAGTTTTTCCTTAAAAGAGTTAATTTTGTCAGTACAAGAATATCTTCCTTCTTGCCCTACATATTCTTGTTAATCTCGAATAATGAAATACCTTTTTAAGAAGCCATCTTATAGGTTATGACACCATGCAGTTTTAACGTTCTGAACTATGCAGATGATGTTAATTACGAATAATGGAGTACACAACTAAAGAGAAAGTATATGTAGGATGGCTGGTAAACTTGAAGTTAGTTCAACTAAAAACTGTGGCACTGAAACAGATTAAAAGTGCTAATTTGAGATGACTTAAATATGTAAGCTGTTTGTTTGTGAAACTAGGTACCTTGGTCTATCATATTATAACTCAATAGACCCCTGTTAGTTATTTAGAGAGGGTGGGTTTCCCCATGCACTGCGACCAGCTTGATCTATTGTGCTTCCCTCTATGATATTCTACCAGTCTCTATACCCTACCGATAAATGGTGCGTACCATCAGTACCACCGAGCAAGCGAGTTCGGCCACTTGCTTAGCGGTGTCTATAATGCTTCCCCCATCTATCAGAGGCCTTAGAGACTATTGTTGGGCGGGAAACGTCCTGGAATTTGGCTCAGTGATCCCCTATTGGGATATGAGGTTCTTTTACGTGCCGTAAAGTTACGACAGGACACACAGCTTAAAGTCCCTCCCGGAGGACTTGTTCCCTGAATTTTTCCGCCCTTAAAAATTCGACGACCTCCGCCGGGTATTTGAACCCGCGTACCACGAGTCATGAGGTGGGAACATGACCTCTAGACTACGGAGGCCGCTCAACAGACCCCTGACTAAGTCTATCTTTATATATTTATATTTAATATATATTTACAGTTCATATTTTATGAATAGTTGAGGTTAAGTTAATGCCACTTCTTTTTCTTCAAGTTAATTAATAATGAAGCATTTCTTACACAACAGTCACATATTTGCTGCGGTTCACTCTCTATCATGAACCATACAGTCATGGTGTGTACTACCATTATCAACAATGAAATTTAATGCTACTAAAGCTCCCAAGTTTTTCCTGTGGGTTATTTTATGATGTTGCCAGAACAGTGATGACTGGTAGAATGACTAATGAATGATGAATTGGAAAGAATCTGGAAGGCTGTGACTGTTGTCTAATCACAGCATTTACATGGAGGGACAGGTAAGAAAATCCTCAGTCTGAAGAGCTGATTTCCTGGGATGTGAACTAAGCCCCTCTGAAATACAGGTCTACAGCACTACCACTATGCCAGATCACTTGGTGACAAATCTGCTGCTATAACTAAGTAAAAAACTAACTCAATGGAGCTAAGCCCTTCTTGAGAAGCTGCCTGTTGCACAGCTATTCAAAAATTTCCCAACATTTTACAAACCCCAAAGTTTCATTACTGTGTTTGCAAGAGCCCTCCACTGGTCCCTACCCACAGCCAGACCAATTCAGTTCGTACCACAACATCCTATCTAAGGCCCATCTTACTCCCACCTACATCTAGGTCTTCCTAGTGATCTATTTCCTTCTGGCCTTGCTACCAAAATCCTAATTACATTTCTGCTGTCCCCCATGTGTGCTACATGTCCTACCCATCTCATCCTCCATGCCTCAATTATTCTAATTATATCTGTTGATGAATAAAAGTTATGAACCTCCTCATTATGCAGTTTTCTCCAACCTCCTATCACTTCAACCCTCTTCAATCCAACTATTCTCCTCAACACCCTGTTCTCAAACACCCTCAGGCTATGTTCCTACCTTTATGTCAAGACACAAAGTTTCACAACTGTCCAAAAAGACAGGCAAAACTAGTTTTGTGCATTTTAATTTTACATTTTTTTACAGCAGCCAGGATTACAAAGGTTCTGGATTGAAGGGTAGCAACCGTTACCCTATTATTGTTGTTCCAAAATATCTGACTTGTGCCATATTGTAAAAGGATCTATTAGCTAACCTGTCATTATACCAAATCTTTTGTCTTTCTTGTGCTTCATAATTACAATTACTGTTTCTGCTTTACATTCTTTCAGTGTGTTGAAAATCAGGTTACTAAATGCTCTCCAGAGTCTAGATTTCTTCTGCTGCGCAGTACTCATGATTTAATATGAATACTTTCTACTGTGACATGACAGTTTTCATATGTGCAAGAATATTAAACCTCATTAGTTAAACATTCTGAGATTAGCTGACAGGTATTACTTTTACCAATTTTTGTAATATAGGTAAAATTGTCCCTAAATTCAATTAAGTACCACATCATGAAATGTACTGCAAGTGAAGGTATAACTACCATTCCTCAGCACTAGATGGAGGTGAATGGTCCACTTCACATCCGAGCTGCTCTACCCTTGGTGTTCACTGGATTGGGGACTGGGTGAGCCCCTTTGTCGATCAGGGCACTGTGGAGTAGAGAAAAATCTCTTTCCTCTGCCAGGAATTGAACTCTAGCTATCCAGCCAATAACCCATCACTATAATGACTGAGCTATCCCAGCCCTAACATTCTTTATATGAGGTTGGTATAGTTAGAATTTCCTTTAAAGCTAGGGGGGTCTGCAGTCCAATCAGTACTTATAACAACAATCATGCTGATACTTGCAACATATGTGCTGGCAACAGAACATGCATTCACTGTTGTGATTGATTAAGTAGTCAGTTGAATCCTAAACACTTTCTTTTCTCAGCATATAGTCAACTTGGCTTATCAGGCACTGTTCAACCCAACATAAGTCAAGTATGGTTAATCACCACGAAACATGCATGAGAAGTACACAAGATACATACTTTTCCTGCAGAAGAAGAAATAGTAGACCAATGCAAAGACGAGTACAATGCCTTTCATGGGATCTTGCAGATGGCATATAACTTTCTTCCTCTCAAGGGAATATATCACCAAAAAGCAACTAGTCCCATATAACAGACCTGTGCGAAGAACCGATGAAAACGTAAATGGTGGCACTAAACTTGCTCTAACACCACTTCCCCATTTTCCACACATACATGACACCAAAAATAACCCCAGAGTTGTTGTTGAGGATGTGAAAATAATAGCAGTATATGCGTCGCCATGAAGATCCACAACCTCCAAATAGAGGGGTAACAATATTATCAAAGCAGCAGAGGAAAAACACAATACTAGACCCACACAAATAAACTGCACTTTCTCATAAAAAGGATTAGTCTTATCGTCATGTTGAATATTCCCTCTTGTACTATCGAATGAATCTTCATTATCAGTAAATTCCTCATTATCACTACCGGCACGTATTAACAGATCTCTTTCTTCGTCTTCCATGATTTCTTAAACCTTCACTTAATTCGAATTAACTCTAAACACATATCCTTTAAACTTTGCTATCACGATCGTCAACATCTTCATCATCGTTCATGATCAGGGGGTGGCAACTCGATGCTATTGGCATGCAACACAGCCAGCGTGACGTCATGAAGCATCACTGCTGCCGCGGTGGCCAGCTGCAATTCTCATCATAAAAAAAAAAGCTGCAGCCAGTGCCGAGGGCTCGGTCGGTAAGAAGGTATGCTATCATACCACCGGCCCTGTCGGTAAGAAATCATGCTATTATACCACCAGCTTTTTTTTACTGCTCCCTCCCAAAAAATCACTGGTTCACACATATAGCTAGAATTAATAATTGATGTAAATGAAATGTTCTTATTTAACAGGCACTGGTGAGAAACTTTCTCCCAATAAATAATGTTGCAACCTGATATCTTGTACTGCAGAGGTTCTTACTCCGTTGTTTTTTTTTCTGTTTTCGAACTGAGTTTAATATCACTTCGCTCAAAACCATCTGGAGGGGAATGAGTTAAATTATATTCCAGCAGACACACAGCGGTATATTCATGACCTGACAACACATAATTAACTGCTTGGAGGCCCGTCGTATTGGTGTCCGCTGAAATGTCACAACAAGGTTGCAACACTGACTTCTTAATATGAAACATTACATGAATAATTTTTAACAATATTTTATTTATATAGATTTATACCTTGTATTATTATAGTGTAACATTATTGTCAAGTATCCGGCTCGAATGTCACATTGAAATGCAGTCCAATAATGTGTGAGGGCAGTAACCGTGTATTTGCCTGATGATGGCTTTAGAAGCCAAAACATGTAGCGAAGGTGATGTTGACCTAGACTGCTTCGTTGTTGTGTTACGACCGATCCCAATAAAGAATTTTATATAATAACACAACATTGTGCACCCAATGTAAATTGCAGAACATCATTATGTTCTGTATGAAGCATTTCATCTGCTGTTGTAATTTGAAAAATCACGATGGGCAGTGTCCAAAAACATGATGTTTGTACCGTCGTCACAAACTTCTAGAAGGGGGACACCTCACAACTTAAAATGTGACTTGTCCGCATGTATACTTTACTACCCTCTTACTCTTTGATCTCCATTCTCTGCTAGTGAATTCAAACACTAGGGACAACCCCTAAATATGTGGCAACTCTAAAACGCTGATGACATTTTACGTCGGTCTGTCGTGTCCATTCTGTGAGTACTGATAGTATTCTGTTGTGGATATGTGAACTGTTCTCTACTGCATGAAGGAGATAGCTTGCAACAGACTCTCTGACTTGGGAGTGGTGTTAAACATTGGCCTCGACACATAATACGAGAACATGCAGCACTGCAACGGAATACGGTAGAACGCTGGGAAAACTAATGAGCCTTCCCCACCCGGTTCACAATAGGTGTTACACTAGTTCTTCTCCTGTTTTATTTCTTTTTTAAGTGGCTTTTATGGACAGACATAGTTGGGACTTACACGGGAGACAGCTGATTTCAGACCCTTACTTCAATGCGAAATTCATGACTTCATCTCTGAATTTCTATTTTCTTCAGTCTTGCTGTAGTTTAGACTATTGTGTACATGATGTACGCAAGTAAATTTTTCTGAGCCCAGTTCGCTTATTTTTTTCCGCCTGGCTTTTCGGATGATTATCCCTTCTTGCGAACACAATAATATAAGAAAGCAGCTCTCAGACACCACACATTGGAAACGAAACTAGAAGTAGTGCGAACACTTAAGTTGTGTTAGAGGCGGTATTAGAAATTTATTGAAGAAGACGTCTCCATCCCTCTCTGCCATTTCACCTCCACTTTTCCAGAAGGCCAGTTTTGGTCCCTGGTGCTATCCGTGAATGATACTGTGCCATTCTCTCTTGGAAAGTAGTTCCACGGCAATCTTATAACTGATGAGAATACCGCTTGCATACAAGAAAAGTGATGTCTTAGTTAGGTGGAGAAAAATAAACTTGAAGGAAGTTATGCAAAATCTTTGTTCCTGTGTGTCTAAATAATTGTTCCAATTTATATTCCGATAAAGCTCTCGCGAGTTAAGGGTGGCACTATTGCTTCAAGTGGCATTGAATACGGGCCTCGAGCATACTTACCTGGCGTAGGGGTTACCGTGATCCTGAAGGCGGTTCCCCCAGGTTGAGACCCTTCCATTGCACTACGGTCGGGTTGACCCCTGCGATTGCCCCAAATGTGGGTAACTCGGGCGCGTAATTTTTGGTAGTCGGGACTGCGTTCGCGCTGTCCCGGTCCTTAGACTTCTTATCTAATTGCGCCGTGGCACGTTCACTTACGTCACGTCAGTTCCACGAAATCTGCTTCAGAAACAATGATTCCACGAAATTTACCGTCACAATCATCACAATGCCGCCCTTCACAGGTTTACACAGTACAAACAACACTAGTGGCGGCTATGAGCGAATGACGACATCGCCACATTACGCGGCCGCAGACGTTTTAAACAGCCGGTTCCAACGAAGCTTCAAGTTACTTCAAGTCACTAGACACCGCCGGAGACTCACAAAACAGGATTTCATGTCACTCGAACCAATCAACAGTAATCTTAAATACTGTTGAGCGTTTACCCATGCCAGTCAGTGCAAATGCATATTCTTGCCCCAACTCTGCTATAGGAAGTGTTATTATGGCTCTACAGCCCTTCGTTGGGCCTTGGCCGCTTTCGCAGTTTATTAATCATACAATCAGTCGGTAGGACTCCTTCAACGGGGGATCAGCCTTCGCAAGGCCTTTACCTACACACGGAACAACACAAATCACGGAATAACCGCACACAGACTGACATCCATGCCTCGAGTGCGATTCGAACCCACGACCCCAGAGTTTCTGCGGGCGGAGAAGGTGCATGCCTTAGAGCGCGCGCTCACTCTGATCGGCGTTATAAGAAACACACGAATAGTAATATTTATGTAAGTGTTTCAAAATAAATGAATATCTGGAATGATTACATTTTGCGCCAATTTCTACAACTGAACGGTTCTGGTTCTGCTTCATTCGCACGCACAGAATGTCTCGTTATCGCAGGCTACCGTGACATCAAAATATGTCACAACGTTCACGTGAATGCAATCCCTCCTGAGGGCCTGCCTCCTACATTCCGCGTAGAAACTTCATTCGCACACCATCGACGCATCTATTGTATGTATCTAATTTATCTTATACCTAACCACAAATTATATCCAGAGTTTACAATGCAATGACCCCACCATTAGCACTCAGAAGTAAAACCAGTCGATTGTTTTCCCTAAGGAAATTGGCTTTATGGCTCAATCCTCTTTAAACACGAACATACAAAGTGCTTAAAGATTACAGACTGAACGTGGTCGCGCCATAGCTCAAGCGGTTATTTGCTGGCTTCCGACCGCGGAGGCCAGGGTTCGATCCCAGGTCTGGTCAAGTGGGATTTGTGGTGGGCAAAGTGGCACTGTACACGTATAATTAACTGCTTGGAGGCCAGTCATATTGGTGTCCGCAACATGTCCCCCGAAATTTAACAACAATGTTGCGACACTTACTTCATAATATGAAATATTACACCGAATAATTTTTAACAATATTTTATTGTATAACTTTCGAGTTATCATAATTTTATTGTATTTTATACCTTGTATTATTATAGTGTAACATTATTGTCAAGTATCCGGCTCGAATGTCACATTGAAATGCAGTTCAATAGTGTGTGAGGGCAGTAACCGTGTATTTTCCTGATGATGACTTTAGAAGCCGAAACATGTAGCGAAGGTGAAGTTGACCTCGACTGCTTCGTTGTTGTGTTACGACCGATCCCAATAAAGAATGTTATATGATAACACAACATTGTGCACCCAACGTAAATTACAGAACACAATTATGTTCTGTACGAAGCATTTGATCTGCTGTTGTTATTTGAAAAATCACGATGGGCAGTGTCCAGAAACATGATCTTCGTACCGTCGTCACAAACTTCTAGAAGGGGGACACGTCACAACTTAAAATGTGACTTGTCCGCAGGTATACTTTACTGCCCTCTTACTCTTTGATCTCCATTCTCTGCTAGTGAATTCAAACACTAGGGACAACCCCTAAATATGTGGCAACTCTAAAACGCTGACGACATTTTACGTCGGTCTGTCGTGTCCATTCTGTGAGTACTGATAGTATTCTGTTGTGGATATGTGAACTGTTCTCTACTGCGTGAAGGAGATAGCTTGCAACAGACTCTCTGACTTGGGAGTGGTGTTAAACATTGGCCTCGACACATAATACGAGAACATGCAGCACTGCAACGGAATACGGTAGAACGCTGGGAAAACTAATGAGCCTTCCCCACCCGGTTCACAATAGGTGTTACACTAGTTCTTCTCCTGTTTTATTTCTTTTTTAAGTGGCTTTTATGGACAGACATAGTTGGGACTTACACGGGAGACAGCTGATTTCAGACCCTTACTTCAATGCGAAATTCATGACTTCATCTCTGAATTTCTATTTTCTTCAGTCTTGCTGTAGTTTAGACTATTGTGTACATGATGTACGCAAGTAAATTTTTCTGAGCCCAGTTCGCTTATTTTTTTCCGCCTGGCTTTTCGGATGATTATCCCTTCTTGCGAACACAATAATATAAGAAAGCAGCTCTCAGACACCACACATTGGAAACGAAACTAGAAGTAGTGCGAACACTTAAGTTGTGTTAGAGGCGGTATTAGAAATTTATTGAAGAAGACGTCTCCATCCCTCTCTGCCATTTCACCTCCACTTTTCCAGAAGGCCAGTTTTGGTCCCTGGTGCTATCCGTGAATGATACTGTGCCATTCTCTCTTGGAAAGTAGTTCCACGGCAATCTTATAACTGATGAGAATACCGCTTGCATACAAGAAAAGTGATGTCTTAGTTAGGTGGAGAAAAATAAACTTGAAGGAAGTTATGCAAAATCTTTGTTCCTGTGTGTCTAAATAATTGTTCCAATTTATATTCCGATAAAGCTCTCGCGAGTTAAGGGTGGCACTATTGCTTCAAGTGGCATTGAATACGGGCCTCGAGCATACTTACCTGGCGTAGGGGTTACCGTGATCCTGAAGGCGGTTCCCCCAGGTTGAGACCCTTCCATTGCACTACGGTCGGGTTGACCCCTGCGATTGCCCCAAATGTGGGTAACTCGGGCGCGTAATTTTTGGTAGTCGGGACTGCGTTCGCGCTGTCCCGGTTCTTAGACTTCTTATTTAATTGCGCCGTAGCACGTTCATTTACGTCACGTCAGTTCCACGTAATCTGCTTCAAAAAAACAATGATTGTACGAAATTTACCATCACAATGCCGCCCTTCAGAGGTTTACCCAGTACAAACAACACTAGTGGCGGCTATGAGCGAATGACGACATCGCCACATTACGCGACCGCAGACTTTTTAAACAGCCGGATCCAACGAAGTTTCAAGTTATACCCTCAGTAGACACCGCCCTCTTCTTGTACTTCGCCGGAGACCCACAAAACAGGATTTCATGTCACTCGAACCAATCGACAGTAATCTTAAATACTGTTGTGCGTTTACCCATGCCACTCAGTGCAAATGCATATTCTTGCCCCAACTCTGCTATAGGAAGTGTTATTATGGCTCTACAACCCTTCGTTGGGCCTTGGCCGCTTTCGCAGTTTATTAATCATACAATCAGTCGGTAGGACTCCTTCAACGGGGGATCAGCCTTCGCAAGGCCTTTACCTACACACGGAACAACACAAATCACGGAATAACCGCACACAGACTGACATCCATGCCTCGAGTGCGATTCGAACCCACGACCCCAGAGTTTCTGCGGGCGGAGAAGGTGCATGCCTTAGAGCGCGCGCTCACTCTGATCGGCGTTATAAGAAACACACGAATAGTAATATTTATGTATGTGTTTCAAAATAAATGAATATCTGGAATGATTACATTTTGCGCCAATTTCTACAACTGAACGGTTCTGGTTCTGCTTCATTCGCACGCCCAGAATGTCTCGTTATCGCAGGCTACCGTGACATCAAAATATGTCACAACGTTCACGTGAATGCAATCCCTCCTGAGGGCCTGCCTCCTACATTCCGCGTAGAAACTTCATTCGCACACCATCGACGCATCTATTGTATGTATCTAATTTATCTTATACCTAACCACAAATTATATCCAGAATTTACAATGCAATGACCCCACCATTAGCACTCAGAAGTAAAACCAGTCGATTGTTTTCCCTAAGGAAATTGGCTTTATGGCTCAATCCTCTTTAAACACGAACATACAAAGTGCTTAAAGATTACAGATTGAACGTGGTCGCGCCATAGCTCAAGCGGTTATTTGCTGGCTTCCGACCGCGGAGGCCAGGGTTCGATCCCAGGTCTGGTCAAGTGGGAATTGTGGTGGGCAAAGTGGCGCTGGGGCAGGTTTTCTCCGAGTACTTCGGTTTCCCCTGCCAATCTTCATTCCACCAATTGCTCCACAATCGCCCACACCTGTCATCTTGGGCTCGTACAATAGGCCAGAAGTGGCCGCAGTACAAGGGACTTAGTCTTCCCACCCCACTAGCAATAAAGAAATAAAATACAGATTTAACCTTCCCACACTGCAGCTTCTTTGAGATCGTCACGTGTAACTCGTTGTGTGACTACGAGTGTCATCTAATTAGACAACCAGAGCTCTTGTAATGTCAGAGTGGAAACATACAAGACGGCCATCTCTATGGCCTCCAGAGAACGTACAAATCAAATATTATGTGAAGAAAGAGTTAGAAATTGAATATTATTTTCAAGAGAAACTCCACTGTCATGAAAACCTCAAATCCTACACTTAAATGAATTTAACCTCTAGCAGAACTCCTACCAAAACAGTTAATGAAAGCTGCAGTACACAAAGAAATAAGCACAGACTTCATATTAATTTGGATTATCACTACACGTAAAGAAACACTGTTCATATTTCTATTATTACCTGCAACTAAAATGTGACTAGACAAAAAAAAATAACCATGGTCACTCACATTCAGTGACTGTATCAAATTGATTTTTGTTACTTTCCCAGGATATTAATGGTATCTGCATTACACCTATATATAACTGTTTAATGACGTGTCAAATGTGTCAGGTCAGCAGAATTAATTAACTGGCCATACAGCATTTATCCCAATCTTGTGTACTGTTAAGATAGAAGTTAAATGTGGAGTCTTTTATCTTTGCCATATGATGTGAATATTGGTAGAGCTCTGCTCAATCTTATCTCAACATCAGAATGAGATGGATGGCTTCAAAGTTGGAAAGGAGCTCTTTGTACTAATGGAACTGGAGGCTGGATGGGTTCCAATAAAATTCAAGATATGGTTTCAAAAAATAAATATCTTACTTGAAACAAAAGTCCAAACCCAAGTACCCAGCATATTTAAAAAAATTGCTTTAATTTACTGTTGTTCTCTACTGGTATGTATGGTAATTTACACGTAGTTGACTGCATAAGATCCAAAGTTCCTTTAGCATATTCACTGCCATGGCAATCACCAGAATTCACTGCAGACCCTTTATATCACACCACAGTAGTCACCAGTATCAGCTACAGACTCCTCTACTTCACATGACTGTGATCACCAGCCTGTAATACTTGGACGTGTTCCTACACGAGTGCCATATGTCTGCTGGTAGCATGTGTCCATTATGGCTTGTGAGTACAATACTCATCAGCATTCATGATAATTCATAACAGTGTAAAAGCATGTCTCATCATATGGCTTGGGACAGAAAACATCAAAACTCACAATGCCATTCAACACATTACAGGAACCTAAAAATGTATATATGCATCATTTTACAACCTAAACTAACATCAGCACCACAAAGTAAGTGAATAAATTAGAAATGAGATTTTCACATGGTTCATCTCTATCTACAGTCTTCTGAGTATACCTCCATGAGAGAAGAGAAAAATCCCTTACATTCTGGAGGAATCTACTGCCCACTTCAAACTTGACGGACATGACAACTTCTGGAATGTCTATAATTTTTACCAATTCAACACTGAAGACTTACAGTAAATGAAAGTAAACGTTTAAATAATAGCTTCACATTTCAAATATAAACTGTGTATATTAACTCAAATTTTCTTACATTATATCACATATCTTTCCACTGAATCCTTCACAAAAGTTTACCATCACTGTATGTCTTTTTGAATCCGTAAGTCTGGGATGCCTAATGTAATAAGACCTGGAATGGAAAATCCTGTAGATAATCCACATCCAAGAAGCACAAACACCAAGTTAAGAGCAGCCAATGTGTAGCTGAGAAGTTATATAAATTATTTTCTTCCCATATATTTTCAGTCTTCCAAAATTCATGACTGAATGTACCAGTGTTCTACATTAAGCACATTTGTGTCAAAATAAAATACTTTTACACCTCTGCTTCATAATCATGTTCTGCACCAGATGTGTCTCTCTCCACCCAACAGTGAAATAACTACAAAATAGCTCAGTATTATGATCAAATACTGTTTTCATATTTTACTTCTAACTGGCTGAATTTCCTTTGTATCAGTTAGATTATAAAATTTACCATGTCTTCCCACACCAGACATGAACTTTTTAGCTCCGGTTACTGATTCCTGGAAATGCAAGAAGAGTAATTCATATGCTTTTGAATGTCACTGTAAGCAAGAAACAAGGAAATGACCAGAAACCCATCTTGAAAGGTATATGAACATCACGCCACTTATACAGATGAAGAAATCATGCAAATTTCATTTTATCTGAAAAAGGCATCTATGACACAGCACATAAATAATGCTGTCTACAGAAATGCAGCTATTGCAGGACTTCTAAGATGGCAGTTAATTCATTTAATTACAACACAGAATGACAGCACACAATTTTATGGAGAGGATTTTTACTTTGTTGACTGCTTCCAAGGCTCTGCGTTTCATGGCTACTCATACACTGCTTGCCGCAAGGCACATTAGAATTTTACGGATGAATTAGAATGCCTGATGGCCGATAACATTTGGAATGAAAGGAGGTAATTAACTTGTAGACCACTTGAAGGCATTATGTTTTACAGCGAGCAGTGCTGTTCATGCATGCGAGTTTTTTCATGATTTGTCAGGAGTAGGGCACAGTTATCAGCTCCATTAGCAATTTGCTCTCAGTTACAGATAGTGAGCTGTGTGGTACATCACAGTTCTGTATACTTTAGAGCAATGTGTATTTCTGTGTGACACCTATGTGAAATATGATCTGCTAGAAAGTGTTAGTGAAAATTGTGACATAAATTTCTTAATTAAAGAGTTCCCAGCAGACAAACAATTTAGTGAATAAACTCAGAAGGGTCCTCTTAACGGACAAGAAACAAAAATATAAGCACTGAATACTTATTCAGAAGTTAGATGGCATAGAGGTCAGACTTGAACATACAGTGTGTCCAGGTTCTATTAGGACTGTGTTCATTAAAAATACAAGATGTGAATTATTTTCAAAATTTCACTCCTTTATTCAAAATAGTCTCCTTCTGAATCAATACATAGCTGGAATCAATTGAAAAGTTTTCGAAAACAGTCACTGTACTCCTTTTGTGGAATCGCATTTAAAACTGCGGTACATTCCCTTTGGATGTCCAGGATGGTGTCGTGACAGTCTCCTTTCGTCGCCAACTTAACTTTTGGGAACCAGAAATCTGCTGGAGCCAAATCTGGCGAATACATACGATGATCAAGGACTGTGATCCCTTTTCTCGCCCAAAAATCACACACAATCTTTGATTTGTGGAGTGGGGCAGTGTCGTGGAGGAAGTTGCAAATATTCCTGCAGAACACCTTCAAAGGGTAAGTCAGAACCTCTTCCACTGGTGCAAGGAAAGTCTATGTGTAAAGGGACAGCATTTTCAACACCTCCTGTGATCTGTGAATGAAGATAAGAAATTCCTTTCATTCTGAACGTTATTGGCTGTCAGGCATTCTAAGTCATCGGCAAGTTGCGAACCAGCCGCCATGAAAACAGTCAACAATGTAAAAATCCTTTCTCTGTGTGTGTGTGTGTGTATGTATGCATATAAAAGACTTGTAAACAGATAAGCAAGTAAAAAGGTTAAGCTTAAACAAAAGGAACATGCTCACATATCTGCTTAGAATCTGAAAATATGACAACATGAAGGAAGTAAACTTCTATGAAAATACATGGCATCACATCCCAGATGACAGCGTGACCAACTGTTTGACTATTAGCATTTTAAAGGCCCTTTTCAAAGCAGCTAGTTTTCTTCTTTAATTGCGAGTGGGGTGGGACTAAGTCCCTTTTACTGCGGCCACTTCTGGCCTATTGTACCAGAGCCAGATGATAGGTGAGGGTGATTGTGGAGCAATTGGTGGAATGAAGATTGGCAGGGGAAACCAAAGTACTCGGAGAAAACCTGCCCCAGCACCACTTTGTCCACCACAAATTCCACTTGACAAGAGCCGGGATCGAACCCGGGCCACCGCGGTGGGAAGCCAGCGACTAACCGCTTGGGCTATGATGCGGCCAAGCAGCTAGTTAGTTACCTCAATGATTTATAAACATATAAAACTGAAACATTGTTTATTTTTGATCAAGTCCCTTAAATACAGCTATAAATACAATATAATAAACCCCACAAAAAGATTATTTTATAACTGGTACACTACTTGCCTGTAATACTATAGGGGTGGCATTATCTTTTTCAAACTCCAACGCGTCTTCAAAACTGCTTGCACTGAAAGCACTGTTGTATGCAGAAACACGATCAGCCTGCATACATCCTTGAGGAAATTTTACCAAAGAGGTTGCCAAATTAATAGCTTGTCCCAAACCTATAAGCACAGTTCACCATGATCACTTCATAGCTAACGTACCAGCATAAGTGACAAAAATGTGTCTAGTGTTCGTGATCTTTTAAATACCGATCATCAAATGAGTGTTCGGATGATAGCAGAGACTCTCAGTATTCCGAAAACCACTGTGTACAACATCCCAGCCACACCGCTCTGCGCGTCCTGGAGTTTCTGGCCAAGCACAGCTTGGCAACGTTGCCCCAGCCCTCCTACAGTCCTGACCTGGCTCCGGCAGACTTCTTTTTGTTCCCGAGGATCAAGACAACCCTGAAAGGAACCCATTTTGGAACCACTGAAGCGATCCAAACCGCCGTGACAAAGGCTCTAAACGAGGTCCCAGTCCACGCCTTCCAGGATGCGTACCATGCATGGAAAAGTCGGTGGCAAAAGTGTGTTGATGCCCAAGGGAAATACTCTGAAGAATTTTAAACGTTTGTAACGGTATCTTGAATAATTTTTCTTTTACGAACTTAATTGCATTACTTTCCGGACAAACCTTGTATTTGGGGGAGTGGATTCATAGATTTACATTTTCTTGACCTCAGCACTAGCTGGAAGTGAGTGGTCAGCTTCACGCCCCGGCCGCTTTACCCGGGGAAAAAGCCTCTGGTACCCATTGGACAAGAAATTGGGTGGACCCCCGAGCTGGTCTGGACAACGTGGAGAAGAAAAAATTCTTGACCCTAAGGGGACTTGAACTCCGACCCCTCAGTCATCCTGCCAAAAGCCAGTCGCTATACTGACTCAGCTATCCCACATCCTCGCTACAATATGATGGAAAAATTAATTGCATACTATTTTCACCTCACCTACAGTGGTTCAAATGAGCAAGATGTAGTCCCTCTTTAGCCCTATAAATCATGGAGGTTATCATATGCACCACTGACTTTAACATTAAAAACGTCTACACTTTACACACGCAGTGTATTTATCTGTTCTACACAACTGTCAGAAAAACAAAGATTGTCTCCCTAACAGCATTAACCAGATGGTCACCATAACGACCCATCATGTTTTCCATGAGGTATGAACGGAATTTTTAAATCTTACTTAAATTAATTTCATGCTTCAAGAAGCTAACACTGCAACTGTATTATATATTTAAAGAATTATTATGTTAGTAACTAGGATTTGGGAAATGAATTCGCTGATGTCACACATAAAGTACAATAAGAGCTTGCAGCCCACCCACTGCTCCAAAATGCTAAGTGGAAGTACCATGATACTACAACATTTATCTTGAAACACCTTTGTACCATATACAAAAATGGTGATAAAGACTCCAGTACCAAAAAGCCAGTGAGAACAACATTCATTTACCTTCTACTGTTAGTACAACTAGCCTATATTGTACAGAGTGCTATTTCACACTTCTGTTAGGAAGTTTCTTTGTTTTCTATGCCTTCAGACTTTACTTATCTCCTGAGAACCTTGCAGATAGGATGCAGAATAATAAAAGTTTGACAGTGTCAGTAAAGGATGAAGTGGTTTATTTGGCAGAAATGCATTACCTCAGTTTCCATATTTCAGCCTTTCACCTTTCTAATGACACTCCATTACATACACAAAGCTAATTCACTAGTATTTAAGAAATAAATTGTATCATTAGTAATTAAAGTTCATGATCAATCAAATAATTAAAAGCCTACAGGAATTGCAAATCATACAGAAACAAAGCAGTAACATGTAAAACCATTAATTCCTTTACTGAAGAGTTCATAATCACAAGGCACCATTCTAATGGGTTAATTAGCTCTGAATGGGTTCACTTGGGCAAGTATAATGTTAAGGTTTAGAGTGGGTTCACCTGGACAAATATTACATTGAATGTCAACACACTGAACAATGCTAAAAGATTCAATATGAATTCGCTCTGACAGAATAAGAGAGTTACAGTCTTCCAAACTAGCACATTCAACTTTTCTTTCTTCCAAATTAGGCTCAACAGGCACTATGTTAGATAAACCAAAACATCCAAACTTTTAAAAACTTCTAACAGAATCACTACTAAAACGGTTAACGAAAGCTGCAGTACATAAATAAAAAACTGTTTACAAATGATGTACTAATCTCAGTTGTAAAACTCTGGTTTACCTGTCCCACAAGCAACCAAACGATTGGCAAGGCCCCATTCATATGCTTCTTGAGCATTGAGAGCTCGGCCTGTGAGTATTAAGTCTAGAGCTCGAGATAGCCCCACCAAGGCTTGTAGTCGAACTGTACCTCCATCCATCAAAGGAACCCCTATAAGATACAGACTGTTCAAATTCTACCCTTACTGAATTCTGTTGCTTCAATATTATTTTAAAGTTACTGTTCACTGAAAATGTGTTATGACAATCAGCAAATCACTAACGATTAGACACCTGGGGTTGAATTTCTGGCATGAGTATAGTCATTTTTCTCTTCATTACTACATCCTGAAACTCTGTGGCCTCAAATCAAATGGTAGTACAATCCTTTTCCACATATTCTAAAATGACAAAACTGTAAAACTACATCCATTTAGTGGAAAGATTGAGTATATGTGGAACTTTTATACTCCTTAATGTCATGAGCATATTACATTATCACCACTAAATTGCCTCCTTTTTTTTTTTTACCTTTTAATTACTGCAAATACAGGGTGACAGAAGTTGAAATAGACTTGAAAGGATTCTGACGATGGTGTATACTGTACTTCTTTTGGCTTATTTTGGACTTCACCCATCGTCTGGTATATAAAAGACAAAAACCCACGACGTTTCGGAGACTGGATCTGTCTCCGTCTTCAGGTGGATAGGGAAGGATAAACCTACTCAGTTGGGCCCCCTAGAAAGAGCTAGTCTCAATCACTGGATTGAGTGATCCAGTGATTGAGACTAGCTCGTCATGGTTTTTTGTCTTTTATATACCAGACGATGGGTGAAGTCCAAAATAAGCCAAAAGAAGTAGAAGTTTAAATGTTATTTTTTGTAGGTTAGATAAATGAATGAGTAAAAGAAACAAAGAAGCTTTTGTATTGGTTTTTCTCATTACAAGAAAGAACAGTGTGGCAAATATGCAAAATATGGCTATGCATATAAAATTGTGTGCAACAGCACAACATAAACATATCATTATGTTCTGTATGAAGCATTTTATCTGTTGTAAAGCAGTGATCAATAGCTTTTTAATTCTAGCATCTGGGTTGTGTCAGGGTAAATATGGCTATAGCATTGAGGTGTGAAATTGCAACAGTCCCTTCCTCTGAAAAATAGCAATGATAAAGAGAAGTGGAACACAACACAACTGAAAATGTCACTTGTCCACACGTCTCCTTCACTAACCTGACTCTTTGATCTCTATTCTTTACTAGTGAATTCAAACACTCAGGACACACCCAAAATGTATGACAACACTAAATTCCTGATAGCATTTAAGTCGGTCTATCATGTCTATTCAGCGAGTACTGATAGTATTCTGATGTGGATATGCGAACTGTACTCTACTGCATGAAGATGGCTTCTAATAGATTATCTGAGAGCATTATATGTGGGAGTGGTGTTGAACACTGGCCTCTACACATCATTTGAAAACACTGTAATATTGGAATATGGGGGAAAGGAAAATTAACAGTACAAACTTCGCATGACGAATGATGGGCCTTCCCACTCAATTCTCAGAAGGTGTTATACTAGGTGTACTTTTTTTTAACATAACTTATGGACAAGCATATTTGGGACTTACACAGAACACAGCTGACTTTTTTATTTATAACAAAGACTACTGTGTACATAAATACTTCATTATATGAGGCATTTTTTTAGCCATCTTATTAATTTAACATCATAATATTCAACTAATATTTAAAAAACGTCATATTCCAAACATGCCAAGGTACATTTCAATGCTATTCTGAATAATGGGCTAACTATAATGGCAGCCTAACAATGGACTGGAATTAGTTAATTACACAGAGATAGCAGAAATATTCTCACCAAAACGTCGACAAAATACACCCATAACTGCCGTTTCCTCCATAACTCTTAAATCACACATCAATGCAAGTTCCATTCCACCAGCTACAGCGTAGCCACTAATAGCTGCCACCATAGGCTTTTTTATCATTCTCCGTGTTGGACCCTGTAGGAAATTACAGTTACAAACCAGTGCAGAGAAGGAAGATATATAGTTGTTAGTTGGCTGGTTTCTAGCAGCACACATTTATCAGTTAATTTATCTGTGCTTTAAAGCTCAACTGGTTGGCGTATCTGTAACTCATTTTCTCCTTGCACACCACCTGGGCAAGTGGCATTATCCAATTATCCAGCATACTTCAGTTGGTTTAGGTGATTTAAAATTTTTCACTCCTGCCTGCCAAAGGTCTCCAGTCATGCAACTACAGTGGCATCTAGAAGCACAGCAGGAAGTTCTGTGGGTGACCAAATATGGCATCTAATTTTTCCCTCATTTATCTCTTATGAGTAAAAAGTTCTTTTACATCCCATAAACATACAATGACGGACCCCTGACTTTACTTCCCTTCTGAACAAAGTTGTGTTATGGACTTCTACTGCCCTAAAAAATCCATCTACCTCGGCTAGGTTTGAACCTATGAACCTTGGCGCACCAACATTAGTTATCTTGGCTGAAACTTTTGTACACTATTTATAGCATACAAAAATCGTCAGAATTTTAGATAAACCTCAAATAGTGGATTATTACAGATATGTTGACAATATGGATATCATATCCCCGTCAGTTTAACCTCAACAGTCTGCAAGCAAATGGAACACGTTACAGCATCATACCTGAGGAAAATATGGGATAAAAAGGACTGGTCATTCAGAAGTATAATTTTGCTTATGGTTGTGTATGGATATGAAACTTATTCTCTAACATTTTGGGAGAAACATTAACTGAGGGTGTTTGAGAACAGGGTGCTGAGGAGAATATCTGGACCAAAGAGAGATGAAGTGGTAGGAGGTTGGAAAAAACTACATAACGAGGAGCTTCATAACTTGCACTCATTGCCAAGTATAGTTAGAATGATAAAGTCAAAGAGGATGGGTTGGGCAGGAATGGGGGTAGAAGAGGAATGCATATAGGATATGGCAGGAAAGCCAGAATAAAAGAAACCACTAGGAAGACCAAGACATGTGGGCAGATAATATCAAAATGGATCTCAGAGAGACAGGACGGGGTGGTTTGGCCTGGATTGATGCGGCCCAGGATATGGACCAGTGGAGGTCTTTTGCAAACACTGTAATGAACCTTTAGGTTCTATAAAATGTTGGGAAGTTCTTGAGTACCTGCACAACTGGCATCTTCTCAAGAAGGGCTCAGGTCCATGATATCAATTGGTTAGTTACTTAGTGTTATTTGTATATACCACCATGAATTTTGAGTGTCAAGGAACATTTCCAGTCTTCATTCAAAAACAGAACAAATGTCTCTGATATATGAACTAACCATTGGTCCATGTCCAGCTTTATTATCAAGTTTCATATCAGTGCCAAACCCTGACAACTCTTCCAGGTCATAACCTGCACAAAAATTTCCTCCAATGCCATGCAGTACTCCAACAACAGCTGAATCATCTTCTTCAAATTCCAATATTGCTTGGGACAGTTTAGCTGCTGTTGCCTGGTTTATGCAGTTCCTTTTATGTGGTTGATTTATACCAATTGTTGTAATAGAACCTAATTTCTCAACCAATATTTCATCTGTAACATAAAATTGAAGTGGTAATCTCTTTATTGTATGAATCCTGTTTTGTATCACTATTTGATATTAATATATGGTCATCAACGTAACAAATTCCAAATAAATAAACCAATATTACTGTATTAACATTTGTTTATTATCCTGTATCTGCTAAATGTTTTGATCCAGCTGGATCTTCAGGCAATTTTCATTATATATCACTTGTTATAGAATTGTGCTGTAATACGAACCCATATTAGTAATTATATTAATATAACTTTTGTTATCAGTTTCTATGTCTCATTGTATTACTAAATTGTGATATTCATCTTAAATGTATGAAAATAAATATTCGCATTACAATTCAACAACTTGAGTTTTGTATTCATGAATACTATATATACGATGGGGTACCCAAAAGAAACCGAACTATTTTTTTTTGTGGGCAGAGCTTTTGTAGTACCGCGTTTTGCCGCTATAAGCACATAGAGCTAATATTCCTGAGTCGATAAGCCGACTACCATTGCTTC